TGTACTAAAAAGTACGTATACGTACAAAATGTAATACAAGAGTACCGTATTGCGATCACGTCCGTGTGATCTTGGGTCGTTAGAAGTCAGGAAAGATCGTTTTATGTATGATACCATGGTCGTGAAGGGAGAATAGGGCGATAACATCACGTGTGATGAGCATCATACGTGATGTCATCGCCCGATCACGATGAAAAGATCACAGTCCTGAAGGAATTTGTGGACTGTTGTTGTTACTTATTTCCAAAGGTCTGACGGCGACAGACCAGATCCATAAATCCGTTGACGAATAAAAAGTCGAAAACAAGGAGGGGAGAAGTGTAAATTTCTTCTGGAAGAACTCCTAAGCAGCATAAAATATCTTCAGCTAACCTCCTTGTTTTCGACTTTTAATATGTTGATGAATAAAAAGTCGAAAACAAGGAGAGGAGAAGTGTAAATTTCTTCTCGAAGAACTCCTAAGCAGCTTAAAACATCTTCAGCTAAAGCCTGATGTTGGCGACATTTCGAGCAAAGGGGTTGGATTTTATACCCTGAGAAAAAGTAAGGCATTTTAGATGTTAACTGGCAAGGTGTGAAAGGCAAGTATTGGGTTATTTTTGTCGCATGGTAATATCAACGACTGTTCCAGCTTAAATGGACTAATTTGACTTATGTATGAAAAGCAGTTTAAATCTATTTATTTTACCCGGTGTCCAAAAAATGAGAGACGATTTAAAAAGAGAAAAACGAATACGAAAGGGGAATCGAAATGTACGATTGACAGTAGTGTTCTGCTTAGGAGGCCGAAAAATTTCTTCTCTCCAAGTGTCAAAATTATTAAAAAAGTTTAACAAACGGTGCCGCTAACTGCGAAAGCTAGAAAACAAATGTTTCCAAAATAAGAATTACTTGCAACAACAGTATATCGCAGTCCGGGGACAAAATTAACAGAACTCGGTGCAGCAGATAGTCTGATATGCAGCAAGAGATATTTAATAGTTTTTCCGTTTTAATTGTTTTAAAATGATTCATCAACAGAAGAGCCTTCTGTTGACTAACTTGGCAAGTTATTTTAAAACATAGTGAGAATAAATATCTACGAAATACGAAGCAGACCATAGACATCTATCTTTATTTAATTTTAAAATCGTTCATCATCTTCGGCACAATTCGGAATTTTCGGCATTTTTTTTTCTTTCTTAACTAGTCAAATAGCTAAATGGTTCCCGCTCTTTCGGAGGTATGAGTCCAGTCGTATACAGAACTAAAATTCATTTTCAATAAAAGTAAGTATGGTTTTTAGTGTTTCGAGCTTATTAGTTTATACATTCAATTTTACTTTAAAACTTGCACCATCTGAGCTCGTCTAGTGCACTGACACAAATGTGGCAGCATCACAATAAATGTGGTTGCCTTTGTCAAAAACAATAAGTTAGTAGCCAAATAGAAAATCTTTGATAGCCTTGCCAAACCTTGATTTTTTTTCTTTAGTTGGAAATTTCATGTAATGAGTTTATTTTGTTAATCGAATAAATAATGTTTTGAAATCATTTTTTTCACTAACTTTCGTACAGGTACTAAAACAGATCTAAGAGAAAATGCAGAAGAACACTCTAAAGATAAATTTATTAGTAGAACGCAAGGGAAAAAATTAGCTTCAAAAATTAAGGCTGCCAAATATGTAGAATGTTCAGCGAAGGAAACTCATGGAGTAAAAGAAGTATGTGCTTTTTTTTTTATCTGGTATACTATTGTTTATTATTGTTATGTGTTAAGGGTCATTTTTGTCGAGAAACACTAATATAAGTCTGCCTGTATCATACTATTGAGTTTTGAGATAAATTATGCAAATTTGTGAAATCTGAGAACAAGTTTATGTTTAAAGAGCGTTGTGGAATAACATGTTAAGTGATAGGGGATAAGTTTAAAGTTACGCACCTCTAAGTTTTACTGTTCGTAATTTAACGAAAATGCTTTTAATTTTCAAAACTTATTGCACAGTTCATTTGCACAAAAAGTGTCTATCAAGCAAGAAAAGAGAAGGCCTCTGCACGCTGCAGCAATAAGCGAGAAATCTGATAATTTAAGAGTCCTTACGCAGTGGTATCTTCCCCGAATGCTCAGTTTAGAAGCCCGAACGTAGTGACATATTTCTTAAATCCCCACTGCGCAGTTTATGTCCGTCACGTCGGATTACTAAATTGAGCCTTTCTCTTCTAAGAGGTGTTGATAAAACGCCTGGTATATGGTAATACTGATTGTTTCAAATGTATTGCAACCGGTGATGATATTTACTCAGAGGCTTCATTAGTATAACGTTTGCTGTTCAAGGCGTTGTCACGTTGTTTTATAATATTGTTTCTATATTTCGCACCCAATAACTCACAATTTTAAGACAACTGATAAATACTGAGTTAGCTCATAAGAAAGCAACCAGTAGTGAATAGTCCATACACTAGACATTTAATAAAAGTTTCAATCAATTAAATTAAAATTCCTATGTGAAGTTTATTTATTTATTTATTTTTTTGTGGCTGGTTGGCGCAGTTGGTTTGTCGTCGGCCTTCTGAGTCTAAATCTGCGGGTTCGATCCCCGGCCCAGACACCGGATTTTCGGAATGCAGAAAATCCTTAGTGGCCAAATCGTATGATTATGCGGCATGCAAAAGATCCCTGGAGTGCCTTATTGGCTCTTCGCATTTCCGGCGAAATTAAATTCCTTGTGCACTTTTACATCCAAATAGAGTCTCGGTGCTGCCATCTAGTGTGGCAGAAACTAGACGTCCAAATTAACATGACCAACGGTATCTCACCCATTGTGGTGGTCCTGAAAGAGTGGATACCTCCTCTGGAGAACGCACTAGGTCTGCTCATCGGCAAGACCGATTGTGCAGCTCATTGGAAATATAAAAAAAAGTTGTTTTTTTTTCAATAAGTTTCTTCGTTTCTACCAAAATCAGTATAAGGAAAATGCAATAGAGTGTATAAAGAGAGACATTTTGTATTTGAACAATAAAAAGACAGCAATTACAGCACCCTAAGTCTGTCTGTTAAAAATAAAAGCCTAAATTTCAACTGATCTCTATTCACCTCTGAGTTTTAGAGATTTGAAACTTTCATGTAGTGAATTAATAAAGTTTTAATAAAGCGATTAATAAAGTGTTGTATGAAAATTTGAAATAATTAATTTAAATAATCTTAAATTTTTTCTCGGCAGATTTAGTTTTTGGTTCTATTGGAATAAAATTTAAATCAGAAATTTCTCTTCGCTACCATTGCAGCATCATCCACAAACTTGTTTTTAAATACTTGTTTAATTTTTGGTTGCTATCAGAAGCCGTTCATTTTTTTTTTTTTGCTGCTAACGAAATTATTTAGCAGTAGTGCAAAAAATTAAGTTTAAAAAAAGTTTTTTTAAAAAAATTATCGTAAGCTTTTTAATTGCTTTGGTTAACTAAATGCAACTTTTGCATAAAATTTGTTATAAAACAATAATAACTTATAAAAAAGTTAATTTATCTTATTTACCGCTTTATAATTATAAAACAGTTAACGGTATAATAAGTGTGGTGACCTGCCTACACTCCACAATATCCTCCTCCCACAATAATCTCCTCCACAATAAGTATAAAACGATGCATATCTTATAAATCTATAAAATGCTTCATATTAAAGTAGTATCATTCCATACTTTTTGTATATAATTATAGAACAATTTTAATTTTAGGCCCTTTAACTTTGGATAACAAACAACTCTTGCGTTGCGTATACGTTACATTAACGCTAACGTGTTTTTCCGTTTCTTAGCGATGCTGTATATGCTCAGAAATAGTGTATTGTGTCTCACAAATAGTGTAGGAATGTTAAGACTTACTTTAAAAATGGAGAGGCTTAAACTGGTGCGTAATAGTCGCAATATTTCTCTTCAGAAAAATTTTAGTTTCCAATCATTATGAAAGTCGTATCGTCATAAAAATAAAGTCAATGCCGCAGAAATAAAATTTTCATTGCTGAATGTTTTCATTCTAAAATTAGAAACGTAAAGACAACAGAGAATAATTTTAAACAACTCTTTGACCTTAAGAAATGATAATTAAATGTTACTTGTAGAGCCGTGATGGCTTAGGAGATAGAGCGTTCGCTTTCCAATGAGGTGAACCGGGTTCGAATCCCTGTGATGGCTGGTCGATACGAATTCCGCATCCGGCTTGCACCAANGTTTTCATTCTAAAATTAGAAACGTTAAGACAACAGAGAATAACTTTAAACGACTCTATGACCTTCAGAAATGATAATTGAATGTAACTTGTAGTGCTGTGATGGCTTGGGAGATAGAGCGTTCGCTTTCCAATGAGGTGAACCGCGTTCGAATCCCTGTGATGGCTGGTCGATACGAATTCCGCATCCGGCTTGCATCGACCACAGTGCTGACATGAAATGGCAGTACTTATTTTTTATATATATTTTTATTTATTCTATACTGACATATCTCGAGAAATGCATGTCAGATGGAAAATATGAGAATAAAGGATAGATGGTTCACCTTCTGAATCTGGGGTAGCGAGTTCAATGTCATTGGATAACTTTTTGTGAAATATTAAACATCATTATTTCTGATCCGGTGTGCATTTCTCGAAGTATTAACCCATTATGGGACTTTTGTGACACCCTGTATAAATTTCTTATTTTTGATAATGTACCATTGCATTACTACCATTGCCTTTTTACATCTCTTTTTTATTTCTGTTGACAGGTATTCGAAGAAACTGTGAGAGCAGTTTTGTCTCGAAAACATTCACATATCAGAATCCATCACTGTAAATTGCTTTAAGTTCCATTACTTTTTTTTAATCCTGTAATTTTATACCTTATACTTTTCTCATTTTTTTTCCTTCCCGTTTAATAAAGTATATCTGTATTTTATCATTTTTCTTGTGACTACTTCTTTTCTCTTTTCCACTAAATAATGTAGAGATATTAAAGAAATAGAATGCGTGAATCAGGTAATCGAGTTATTTGTAATACAGATAACGCTTTGTGAAAAATATGATTTTTTATACAGATATTTGGGAACAGTGGTTCTCAATTTTTTCTGACTACGCAACTCTAATGGATGGATCCTTCTTTCGGCGGAACCACAACTTAATAAAGTTCGTCAGCAATTGCAAACCTAACCAAAAAAGCACTACTAATTATTTTCGAATAATATAATTGTAAATTTTTAAACCTTTTTGTCAATATTGGTTTTAAAAATAGGCATTATGTAAGACAGTTGAATCCACAGATATAAAGCGATATCAAACTTAACTCTTAATTTAATTTTGGTATGCATAAACTGAAAATAAATGAAATACAATGAATTATGTTTTTTTTTTATTCGAAAAGGAATATTGATTGAACTATCATTAAAGTACTGAGTTAAATGTGAGAATGGTTATAAAAAGCATTTCTTTATTGTTGATTTTTTTTTGTTCCCTTTAAAGTGAAAAATTCAACTGGGAATATTTTTTATAAATGCTGATCTTTTTCATAATTTATTTAGTATATTTTTCTAGAAAAATATTTGATAAAAATAACCGAAATATTAAACAAGTAATGGATTGTTATTTGGAAATAGATATAATCACAGGTTATAAAAACCATGAATGTTTTTTTATTTTAATTGCCGGATCCTTTGGGACCCTCCCTTAGAACCCTAAAATTCCACAGAACATGTCTTTGGAACCACTGTTTAGAAAATTGTGAAATGTTTTTTTTCCCTAGCTTATTAGGTTATTATGTTATTAGGTTATTAGGTTACTATTAGGTAGGCTTATTAGGTTATAAGCTTATTATGTACCATAATCCAATTATGTCCATCTGGGAAATGACAATATAGTCATTTCCCAGATCGCAGCACATATTTTGCTTAAGCAATTTCATAAAAAGAACCGAAATATTAAACAAGTGATGGCTTGCTAATTGGAGATATATATAATCACAGGTTTTGGAAACCATGACTGTTTTTTTTAAATTTAATTGCCGGATCATTTGTGACACTCCCTTAGAACCCTAAAATTCCGCAGAACACCTTTTGGGAACTACTGTTTGGAAAATTATAAAAGTTTTTTTTTTCTAGTTTATTATTGCCAGAGGGACCATTCCACTACATTGCAAATCTACTACAACAGATGTATAATTTAGCACCTATGTTTTTTTCCATAGAAAGTTGAATTCAAGTCGAGTATAACGTTGAAGCATGCTTTCAAATGTATATATCCTATTTTCTTTTACACATAATCCTGCAGTTAAAAGTTGGAAAATATTTTTTATTGCTAAATTTCACGTATTTATCGATCTTTACGAAATTAAATATACACTGGTTATCATAAATTAAGGAAAAATCACAAAAATAGCGATAACTCTTTCAAAAGTAAGCCAAACCGTGCAAAATTTGCATATGTTGTCCACTAAGAGTAGCTGAGTAAAATTGCAATATGCAAATTAGTGGCGCTGCACTCGGCTTACGTCATCTGCCTGGAGCATAAAAGTCCAAGTTTGAGAGAAAGCACACAAATTTTACTGTGATTGCGACATTGAAAATCTGAGATAGCCAATTCGTAATAATGACCTCTAGGCATCATTTGCCTGAAGAACTACGATGGAGAGCCATCGGGAGACTAGAGGCAGGGCAGAGTCAATCAGAAGTGGCCAGATGGCTAAATGTGAGTCCATCTGTGG